AGACAGAACAGAGGGAGAGATTGGAAGATGTTCACCCAGAAGGTTGAGTGTTGTAGCCAAGGAAGCTGGTAGCCAGCAGCTAAACAAAATCAGATTCTCCCCTAGAGCCTGGATGATGTGAGATCCCACCAACACCTTGAATGCATGTTGAATTGCATTGTCAACTACTTTGCTTTTTATCCTTTATTCTGTCAATAAGATAAAATATATCCATTGGTTTTTCAAATGTTCAAGTAACTTTGTATTCTTGGTATAAATCTCAACAGGGACATGATGTATTATCCTTTTCATACATTTCTCTCATAAAAATGGACACAAGAATCATTATAGACTTTCAATTTATTTGAGAGACAGGGAGGGACAGAGAGCAAGCTCCTATCTGCTGGTTCACTCCCCAGATGGCCGCTTTGGCTGGGGTTGGGCTGGGCCACAGTGGAAGCTGGGAACTCCATCCAAGTCTTCCACACAATTGGCTGGAACCAGTCACTGGAGCCATCACCGCTGCCTCCCAGGGTCTGCATTAGGGAGAACCTGGAGTCAGGAGCCAGAGGCAGGTATTGAACCCAGGTACTTTGATGTGGGATACAGGCATCCTACCTGGCGTGGTAGCCACTACACCAGATGCCTGTTCCTGGTCAGATGCTTTCTGATAACAGCAAGGTAACTCAAGGTGGGGGTCAGAGATGAAGGGAACACTTGGGCCCCTGCACCCGCATGGCAGACCAGAAGGAAGCACCTGGCTCCTGGCTTCAGATCTTTGTAGCTCTGGCCGTAGCGGCCATTTGGGGGGTGAACCAATGGAAGGAAGACCTGTCTCTCTCACTATGTAACTCTATCTGTCAAAAACAAACAAACAAAAAAACAACAACCTCAGGGGAGGCATTTAGCCTAGTGGTTAAGATGCCCACGTCCCACTTAAGAGGACTGGGGTTTGATTCCTGGCTCTGGCTCTAAACTCCAGCTTCCTGCTTTGCAGTCCCTGGGGAAACGTGATGATGGCTCTGACACCCAGGTGGGACACCTTGATTGAGTTCCCAACTCCCAGCTTTGACCTGCTCCAGTACTAGCTATTGTGGACATTTGGGGAGTGACCTGCTAGATGAGAGGGCTTTCTCCCTCTCTTTCTCTCTCTCTTCCCCCACTATCCCTCAAATAAATTAAAAAACTAAAACAAAGTCCTTGAATCATATCTCCTCATACACAAGAATTAACTTGTTATGGATCATAGTCCTAAATACAAATGCTAAAACTAAAGCTCTCTGGATGCAAACATAGGAGAAAACCATTGCCACCTTGAGGTAGGCCAAGATTTCTTAGGACACAAAAAGCAGTAGTCATTAAAAAACAAGTTGATAAATAGATATCATGCAATTGAAATCTTCTGTTCAAAAGACATCATTAATGAAATGAAAAGGAGAGATATGAACTGTAAAAATATATCCACAATGTATAAATATGACAAAGAACTTATATCCAGATACAAAGAATTATTATAATCTAAAAATAATACAAAATAAAAACACGAAATTTTTAAATTTTTTTCAAGACTTTCCAAAAGAAGATATACAAATGTCTAAGAAGTAAAGGAAAAGCAGAGGCTCACCATCAGTAGTCATCAGAAGAAAACAAATTGAAACCACCATGAGATACCACCACATCCACCAGAACGGGCAAAATTGAAAAGATTGACAGTGGCAAGGTTGCCAGAGATATAGAGCACCTGGAACTCTCACATGTGGTTGCCAGAATATAAAATGGTAAAAATCACTTGAGATAAGGTTTGCAGCTTCTTCTAATTACACACTCACTAAGTATTTACCCAAGAGAAATAAACCTACATGCACACAAAATCTCGTAGATGAATACGGGCAGCAATCTTATCCATAACTGCCCCCGGGTGAAAACACGCTACCGGTTTCTGCGGGAGTCGCCGAGCAGACTCCCCAGCTGTGTTTGCAGCTGGCCTCCAACGTCAGCTCCTCCTGCCGCACCTATAGAGTCACCCAGGTGGAAGCTGTGGTCCTACCAGGGCAGCTCACCTGTTGACCGCACGGGATGGGAGGATGAGGGCCTGCCATATTGGCTCTGTGCAGGACATCCTGATGGACAATACTTGCTCTAGAACTCTCTGCCAGGTTGGCTGATTCCTTCCTCTGCTCAGTCCTGGTTCCACTACTTTTACAAGTGTTGATTCCTGTAAGCCCCTTATACTCAAAACACCAGCTCACCGCCTGCCTCTACAAAGCCAGCTGGCACCACTTGGGATCTGCACATCCCATTCTGGAGTGCCAGTGTTGGAGTCCTGGCCCTGCTTTTGCTTCCAGCTTCCTGCTAATTCACACCCTGGGAGCCAGCAGATGATGGCTCAAGCACTTGGGGCCCTGCCGCCCATATGGGGGAAGACCCTGATGGAGTCCTGGGGTCCTGGCTGTTGCAGGTGTTTAGGGAGTAAACCAGTGGATAGAAGAGCTCTGTCTCTTTCTCTCTCTTTGCCTTCCAAATAATTTTTAAAATTTTTTAAATTCATCCAAAAGAATAAAAAATAGAAAACCCAGCTTATGATGAACCCAGACTGGCCCTCTGTTGGCTCGGTGACTGCTCATTGGAGTGGGATGTTCTTCTTCCAAAAACTCAGGCCAACCAATGATTCATGCTCAGAGTAAACTAAACACCTGTGAAATCACTTAGCAGTGATCCAGACTGGGGGAGCAGAGGTGATACATGAAGGAACACAATTCTGGAACTTCTCAGACCTGTCAGGATTGAATATTTTATAATCAAAGTAAAATTATTTTCATATTACAGTTTGTAAACCAAGCTAGAACTGCTCATCTTGGGCTGGGTCCCTAGCGGGATATTATGAGTATCTCCATGACACGGCACAAAAGCTGCAATCACCACCCTTCCAAGGCCTCCTCCCCCTTTTCTCAGCCTGGAAAAAGAGGAATCTTTGCCCACTTCTATGGACTAAAAGGACATCTAGTGTATTGTTATTCATTAGCTTTTAAGTGTCTGAATGCGGCTGGCTGGAATATAAATGACCATGTAACAATTACGGGTTATTTAAGACCATTTATTTTTCTTGCACGCCTGCTCATTCCTTGTGATTTATCTGCAGCTAAATCTCACTTGAGTGACAGCTACACTTCACGTGTTTGGTAGGGACCAGTGATTAAGGGCTCTTATGATATTTCTTGGTGTTCTCCATTTTTGTTGGAATGTTCTGTTCCCTTATCTCTCTTTGTGTGGGTTGAATAACAGCAGGGTCTGTCTCTGAGACAAAATGTATTGCTGCTGCTTAATAAATGTTAACAGTACCACATGAGAAGCTTCTCCATGGAGGCCCCAGGGAAAGCAGGTGCCTCTCCATCCTCATCTGCTCCTGGGCTCCTTGCCTTGCAGCACCTGTGGCTAGGTAGGGACGGCTCATCAGCAGGCTCTGAAGATTTCAAGCCGAGCAGGTAGGGTGATAGGCTCCCATATCCCCTGTGGAGGTCAAGGCTGCCACCACAGGGCGGCTTGGTGTGCAGTGCTGTCCTTCCCACAAGCACTGACTCATGCTGGCTCCAGGAGGACACCACAGCGCTTGCTTTCCTGGAGCGGTCACTTACTAGACATTCAAAATGGTGGCTCTGAGACGTCACTGTTCAAGAGGAACAACGAGAGGGCATGACAAGACACAGGGCGCCTGGCCTCAGCCCCGGAGACTGGATTTAAATAGTCCGGGCTGGGACGCAGCAACAAGCCTGTTAGGGGTTTCTCATATTGATAATTTATACTCTCAGGGGTTTCTCGTATTGATTATTTACACTCCCAGGGGGGAGATTCCTTGGCTGTTGTATCCTACACCAGTTCTCTCACCTGGCTATCCTGTGGCAAATGGCATCAGCATGGACACACCATTCCAAAGACAGCACAGCGACCCACATCCGGTCACCCACCTCTCCTCCCTGGAGGCATCTGCTGTCCAGTTAGGGGGCATTCTACACATCTCCAAGCGCGGGTACAAGCACACGCCTCGTGTTCTGCACCTAGCGTTTCTCCTTTCTTTCACATAGCATAGGTTGGCGGTCTTCTCTCAGTGCCTGGAGATTATCCCAGCATTGTCAGCAAGTGGAGTAGCATTCCATGACATCCATGTGCTGAAACTTATTTAAACGGTCCTCTGCTGGTGGGCATTGGCTTCCAATCTGCGCTGACACAAATAAGCTAGCAGTGGACGCCTCCTACTCTTGTCATTACACACCCGAGTCAGTGTGCCTGTAGGATAAGTGCCAGAAGTGGTATTATTGGGCCAAAGCCTGTGTCTATGCAATTGCTATTTTCACAGATATTACCAAATTGTCCTCCATGGAGGTTATAAAACTTTGGATGTTTGCTAGGGCTAACAGGTGGAAAATGCTGCCTCAATACCTGAGCCGCAGTTATGTGGGCTTGGGCATCTCTTCCTACGCCTGAGTAGCCTGGTATTGATTTACCAGGCGGGCTCTTATCTTTTCAGATGGTCTTTCCTTATTAATTTATAGAATGGAGAGTCTATGTTCCAGCGACAGATGGACTGTCGCGGTCACGTCTGGGAGCAGTGACCTTGACATCCCCCCGCCACGCCCCTGGACGTAGATTTACTAACCTCGCTGTGGGTCTCGCTTTTGCTATTTGCTGTGGATGCTGGGCGGGCTGCTCTATTTGGGCCACAGACCGGGTACCCAACCTGGAGTCCGCGCATCGGGCGACACGGCCCTTTAAACCCGGGGCGCGGACTCGGGCATCGCGGCCACCAAACAGCAAGCGAGGAAGCCGGGCCTGGCTCCTGAAAGCCAGGTTTTTTCTCCCTCTTGAGAAAGCCGCAACAGAGAGCCGAAGCCCCAGCGCAGAGGGAGCCACGCGCGGCCCCGCGTTCCGCGCTCTCGGCAGCCGCGCCCGCTCGGGCCTCCCTCCCACCCTCGAGCCCCCGCTGCTGGGCGGGGCGCGGCGCCCCCGGGGCGGTCACGTGGCCTGGCCCAGCTGTGGGCTGGGGGCGGCGGGCTGGAGCGCCCGGCGTCTGGGGAGGAGGCAGCGCCCGGCGGCCGCCTCCGCCACTGCAGCTGCAGCCGCTGATGTCGCCGCAGTAGCCCCGGGCGCCGCAGCACCCGCTCCGTCGGCGACCGCAGCGTCCTCACCGTAGCGCCGAGCCCGGACCCGCCGCCCGGCAGGTGAGCACCGCGGGTCCTTCCTGCCGCGTCGCTTCTCGCCGGGTATGCCCGCTCCACCGTCGCCGTCGCTCCCGAAGCCGAGTCTGGGCCCGGGGTGGCTTGGGCTCGGGCTGCGGGTGCACTGCCGCGGTGGCGCCTGCCCCACTGCCCACACCCCGACCCCAGCCTCCCCCGAACTCTTAGAGCCCCGCACCCCCACCCCTGCCCTGGGCCGCCTCTTCTGCGTCTCCTTTCCTTAGGCGCTTAGTTGCTGCCCGCTGCGGGGTGTGCCCGTGCGCCCGCACCCCGCCGCTCTGGCTTTCGGGGTCCGCCCGCGCGCGTGTACCTTCCCGGAGGCGCTCGCCTGACTCGCCAAGGGCTCGCGGCGGGCGCGGGGCTGCGCTCCCGGTGAGGCGGGCGCCCGGGACTTGGCGCAACTTCCCCCTGGCCGCATGCGGGCGCTCTTTGGGGGTCTGCCCAGCCGCGCCTCGGGGCGCCCGAGTCTCCCCCGCCGCCGCCCACCGCGTGGCGACCTGGCCCGTGTGAGCTCCGCGAAGCGGGGGCCGGGGGTGGTGGTGGAGAAACCCTGGAAGTTGAGACCTGTGGTCAGAACTCGGGTGGGTGTGGGGATGAACGAGGCCACGAGGCCCTCTGCGTCATTTGGCGACTCGATCTGGCACTGTCTTGGAATTTCTGTTGAATTCCAGCTTGCAAGTGCACGCCGGCTGCTAAGAGCTGTGTCCAGCTTTCCGGGGCGCGCGCGCGCGTGCGTGTCCCCGTGTTCACGGTGCTCTTGGCCGGCCGGGTAGAGCATCTGTGACAGAGAAAACCTGTGCTAATTCAAAATGGCAGCGTGGAAAATCGGGCCGGGCCCAAGCAGCGCAGCCTCCGCCCTCCGCCTCTGCGGCGCCCTGCCTCGGTGGGAGTTCCTGAATGGGCAGGGGGCCTCCCGGGGGCATCCGGGAGACAGAGGCTGCTGGAGCTGGCCAGACTTTGGGGTGCTGCACGGTCCCGACGGGTGTTGAGGGGAGCTGTGCCGATCAAAGGCTGATACAAACCGTGGTTAAAACTCTGGGAGTTTGGGCTGATTGTCTCCAGGCCAGCTAAAGAAGGCTGCATGGCATTGAGGTCTGTCTGCTGGACGCCTGGGTGTAGCGGGCAAGCATCAGCGGGGAGCAGCCAGTGCACAGAGCCAATGCCAGGCTCGCAGAGCAGGTTTTCTTGGAAGGACAGGGGCAGCACCGCAGGCAAGCGCCCAGGCACGGGGAAGTGGCACCTCCTTGAAAGGTGACTCATTTTAAGATTCCTTACCCTGCCTTGCTGCCAGCCATCTTGTCACTTAGGGAGGAGGAGGTGCGAGAGGAGGCAGGTGCCTGGGGGGCCACTGGGAGAGGAATGTGAACCCTGAGGTTGGGAGGGGCAGGGCTGGCAGCTCCCTGACCCGGTGCGTGCTCTCACCCCCTTCTCCAGGCAGGTTGAATTTCCCAGCTGGGTAATGGACTGTTAGGATCACACAGCTGGCTGGGAGTGAGGACCCAAACTCAGGGCCCTGAGCTCCCCAGTTCAGGACTCTCCCTGACACTTTTATTTTTAAAAGATGTATTTATTTATTTGAAGGGCAGAGATAGAGAAAGAGAGAGAGGTCTTTCATCCGCTGGTTCACTCCCTAGATGGCTGCAACAGCTAGGAGCTTCCTCCAGATCTCCCATGTGAGTTCAGGGGCCCAAGGGCTTGGGCCATCTTCTGCTGCTTTCCCAGGCCACAGCAGAGAGCTGGATCAGAAGTGGAGCAGCCAGGACTCGAGCCGGTGCCCATATGGGATGCCTGTGTAGCAGGTAGTAGCTTAACCTCTGTGCCACAACACCGGCCCCACCCAGTTAACTTCTTAAGCCATGTCCACACTTTCTGGTGGTGAGGCTGCATCTATATATATATATATATATTTTTTTTTTTTTTGACAGAGTTAGTGAGAGAGACAGAGAGAAAGGTCCTCCCTTTTCCATTGGTTCACCCCCCAAGTGGCCACCATGGCCAGTGCATTGGGGCTGGTGCGCTGCGCAGATCTGAAGCCAGGGGCCAAGTGTTCCCCCTGCCCTGCAGTCTCCCATGTGGGTGCAGGGCTCAAGGACCTGGGCCATCCTCCACTGCCTTCCCGGGCCACAACAGAGAGCTGGACTGGAAGAGGAGCAACCGGGACAGAATCCGGCACTCTGACCAGGACTAGAACCCGGGGTGCTGGTGCCACAGGCGGGGGATTAGCCTAGTGAGCCGCGGCGCCAGCCGAGGCTGCATCTATTTGTAAGAAACAAAAACCTAATCACAGTTGGTGTCCTTGAGGCGAAGTGCATTCTTAGCAGCTGCTTGTGCTTGTGAGAAGCATTAGGCCAATTTCTGCCAATTTCTTTTGAAAAGAAACCAGAATGGGTCATGTATCTAATTTTTTTAATGCATCTGATTTTTAAGTAAAAGTAAACAAAGCTGTTTTAAAATAGCTTTGAAGCAAGCTGAATTCAGAGGTGTTTTGGAAATTTGAATTTTTCGAGTCGTGAGTCAGTGACCTGGGATCTGCTAAAGCAGAACTTGAATATTTGCAGGAGAGGTAGATGTCTGGGGAGAAGGTATGGACGGTGTTTCCTCTGGGCGTCTGTACCTTTACAGCCAGTAGGGTGCGGAGGGAGAAGGTGGCGGGAGGCAGTGAGAAGGAGGGTGACTTCAGAGAGTGGAGTGGTAGGAGATGTGTGTGTGAACTTGAGAGGGAGAGAGAGAGTGTGCCAGATAAACAGAGTTCCCCCTCATATGTGGTTCATTCCCCAAATGCCCACAACATCCAGGGCAGAGCCAGGCCAGAGCTGGGAGTCAGGAGCTCAATGCAGGTCTCCCTCGTGGGGTGGCAGGAACCCACTTCCTTGAGCCATCATTGCTGCCTCTCAGGGTCTGCATGGCAGAAAGCTGGAAGCAGAAGGTGGCACTGAAACCTCAGCCAGGTGTTCTGATGTGGGACATGGGCTTCTTAGCTGCTAGACGGGACACCTGCTCTTGGATAGATTTTTGAATTGAAGATGGTTGTTGATGTAACATATGCCATTGAAACAGATAATTTGCATAAGAGAATGCATATGAAAATAGGCCAGAGATATTTAAAATGACAAATTTTAAAGTACATAACACATGTGATTTGTGTTTCTTGGCTTTCTTTTTTTTTTTGACAGGCAGAGTGGACAGTGAGAGAAAAGAGACAGAGAGAAAGGTCTTCCTTTACTGTTGGTTCACCCTCCAATGGCCGCTGCAGCTGGTGCACCGTGCTTATCCGAAGCCAGGAGCCAGGTGCTTCTCCTGGTCTCCCATGCGGGTGCAGGCCCCAAGGACTTGGGCCATCCTCCACTGCACTCCCGGGCCAGCAGAGAGCTAGACTGGAAGAGGAACAACCGGGACAGAATCCGGCGCTCTGACCTGGACTAGAACCCGGTGTGCTGGTGCTGCAGGCGGAGGATTAGCTTAGTGAGCCGCGGCGCCGGCCTGTTTCTAGGCTTTCAATTAAAAAATATAAGTAAGCAAAAATTATTTTTTTGAGAAGTCACTAGTTTTTTTTTGGAAGGAGAGTCCAGGTCTCTCCAGTTTGGCAGCCATTGAGCACCTGCAATGTAGCCTGTCCAAAGAGAGATGTGTTGGGAATATAAAATACACACCAGATTTCAAAAATTTAATATGAAAAAAGAATTTCAAATAGCCCATTAGTAATTTTTATATTAAAGTCCTGTTAGATGTATTAGATTAAATACAGTATGAAAAATTAGTTTCACCAGTTTCTCTCTACTTTTTAAAACATAGCTACTAGAAACAGAAAACTGCATCTGTGGTTCACATCTGTCTTACATTATATTTCTGTTGGACAGTGCCGGTCTAGCTCATTAACAGGAAGTAGAGGGTGGGGAGGCTCCCAGTGCTGGCTGTGTGGAGCAGCTTGGACAAGCTGGACAGAGGAGGCCTACAGTGAGCAGGTGATCAGGGACTCCTTGTAGACAGAGGGGGAGCAGGTGGCACGCTGGGATCGCTGAGTCGTGAGACTTTGTAAGACAGAATGGGCAGTGTGATGATCCAGGGTGTGTGGTCATCAGAATCGGGCGTGGCAGGGGTATTGTGTTATGGCAGTGCTGACGTGAAAGTAACTCCCCGTTCTGACGTGTATGTGTTGCCACATCCAGATGAAATTAGTGCACCCAGCACAGAGAGAGGGCTCCAGGTGCACGTCAGGGGCCATGGGTCCCAGCTGTGTCTGCTTCTCATTAGGAGTCTGGCCTAAGTGGCCTCTTAAGATGAGATGAACAAGAGCTGCCCACCAGCCTCGTAAGGTGATTTCCAGGGGCTGAGGTGTGGTGTTCCATAAAACACAGGGGTTGTTAGAATTCATAAGAATTTATGACAACACTACATTGTGAGATAATTTTTACTTCTACACTCGTGTGCAAGTGAACAGCAGACGGACCAGCCTTCCTCTGGTGCCGCACCCATAAAGGGTCTTACTGACTTTGTCAATGTTGATACTTCTATTTTTGTACTTGGAGGAAGTTCTTGCTGACCTGTTCTCAATGAGAAGCCACATGCAAAGATGCACCTGCCCTTGTCTTCGTGTGAGAGCAACAAACATACATGCACATTTCAATGTAAAGGAGTGACATTTAGTTCCCTGTTTGTGATTTGCCTTGAAACTGTACAGAGGTTCCCACTTCCTCTCCTCTCATCTCCCAGTTCAGTAATCCAGGGTTTCATGGTAACAATGAATGAGTTTACAGACACTAAGTTTCAAGCACAGTGCCTAACACTTGTCTGATTTTTCTTTCTCCCATAGACTGGTTTGTAGGGGAATTTAAAGGAAAGCATTGAGTAACTGAGTAAAGAATTTGCATAGGGTCTGAATTGATAGCTTTAGTGACTTTGTCTCTAGAAAGTAGCTTAGTGGGGTGGGCATTTGGTGCAGTGGTTAAGCCCCTGCTAGGGACATCCATATCCTGTAGCAGAGAGCC